ATTTATTTGAAGACACTTTAATATAAAGATAAAAGATTATGTGATAATAAGAGTTAAAGATTAAAAATGTTAGAAGAGATCTGAACCGTTGATCACTTTTATTCTCACCTAGTCACCTCCAACCATTAATTGTGCTTATTACGGGAACCAATCCAATGCATCTTGCTGCATTGTATTAGTGTGGATCATTTTTACCCTTTTCAGCATAATTTTCATTCTCACCCTAACTCAAGAGTCAACCCTAATATGAATGTCATCAATCTTGTGGTTTACACTTTCTATCCACAGTGGTCCCAAAATTGAAATAAATACATATATGGGACTCCTGGTTGACATTTTCGTACTTTTCACATTTTTATATATTTGTTCTATTTTTATCTAGTTATATATTTATACACACCAACATCTGCATATATATATATATATATATATATACATATGTAGGATCAGGTTCAGAGAAAAATCTTTAAAAAAAATAATAAATTGAGAAACACTCTGATAACCGTTCATCTGGACCATATGGACATGTGCATACAACTTCAATTACTTATATGCACATGTGCATACGGACCAGATAAACGTTTACCAGAGTATTCCTCAGTTTTTCATTTTTTGGGGGTTTTCCCTCGAACCTCCCTCTATACACACACATCTTTGCAAGAAACGCTTCAAGAACACTATGAAACATCTTCATAAATACAAGAACAATCTCAAAAAGCACAAGAACATCAATGAGCATTAATAACACAATGAACATCATCAATATCTTGTGATACAGATCCATATAAATCAAAGACCTACATCGAATTCAAAAAACAAACACTAAATCATATTCAAACAGATGCCAGAAATGAAATTGGAATCCAGGTACACACCCATAAATCGGATCACATGTTCAAACCCAAAATCGAGACCGAGAATCGGACCTAGAAACGAAAAAAAAAATAGATTCAACCCAAAATCAAAACCCATATTTGAACCTAAAAACGAAACCGGGAAAAGATTCACACCCAAAATTGAAATCGAAACAAAGGTTCAAACCCAAAATTGAAACCCATATTCGAACCTGAAAACGAACCCAAAACCCGCGAGATGTTTGGACTGTGAATCAAAACCCTAAAATTTGGTAAACAAGCCCCCTTGATCAACGATTGGAGCTGGCATTTCTATTCGGTCAAAGTTGCAAAAGCACCTTGAATACCGTCAAGTAGTGTTGTTCGATGTTGATTTCTTCTTCTGAAGACAGTGCAACTCGAGCGATAATTTATGCTTTCACCATTGTTGCAGTGTCATCTGGATGTATCTCGCTCTGTCTCTTCTGTGTTTATATATTTGACAGTCGTTTCTACTAACTATCACTCCGTTACCTTTTTTCCGATCACACTTCCATTTCCATTTCCATTTCCATTTTCCATTTGATGCTATCTTATATATCTTCTTGGATACTTTCACATTCATAAAATTAAATGAAGAGAAGCTCGTTGATAATGGTAGTGAAGTCTTTGAGTCGGGATAAGAAGATGAGATGGAGTGAGGTTTGCTACTAGGCATGGCAATGGGGCGGGGATGGGGCGGGTTTTGTAATCCCCAGCCCTGGCCCCAGTTTGTAGTAACGTCCCCCGGTCCCTAGCGAGTACGGGGATTATTATCACGTCCCCAGTCAAAACACTAGCAATCCCCGGTCAAACCCCGTAAATAGTATCCTTTATTTTGATTCTACAGAGGATCCCCGACCCCGGTTTGAACAACATCCCCCGTCCCCGGCCCCGGTTTATGTCTATCGAGGATCCTCGGCTCTGGCCCCGGGACCCGTTTTAACGGGAAATCCCCGTCTCCGTTCGAGTCGTGGCAAATCACCATCCCTATTTGCTACGATAGGTGACATGGGTTGGATGAGTAAACGTGAGGTTTGATAATTGGGTGAACCAAATGTTTTTTGTTTCATTAGAGGAAGGTGTGAACATATTAATCAAGAGTCTCATATTTATATTTATTTTGATTTCAAGACTTTTATAAGCATAAAGTATAAACTACAAGGACCAAATCCGTAATTTATTATTTATATGAATACCAAACTTCCATTTTCATTGGAATCCAACCTTAATATAAATACCATCAATATTTTTTTTATTTAGGGCAAAATAACAATCTACTTTCATAAATTTCTTTATTATAGCATTGTACTTTCAGTTGTTTTTATTACAGCAATGTACTTTAAAACTATTTTTTATTAAGACATTGTATTTTGAAAAATTTACTCATTATAGCATTGGGTAACCTTCTGATTTAAATTTACCCATTATACGAGGTTTCCATGCCACCTCATTGTCCACGTAGGCTGTCCACATGCATTATAGTGATGTGACTTTCTTACTACATCAGTGTACTTTCACAATTATTTTATTAGGACATCTACTAGTTCTTATTAAACACTATATTTGTAATTTTAATATTTAGAAATTTTACATGTTATTTAATAAATATATTAAATGAGTTAAATTTTTTCTAAATTATTCATTAATATACCAATATCAATAAAACTAGTAGAACACAACTTATCTCACTAACATTTTTTAAAAAAATTGTGTTTTCTGCAAAAAATAAAAATAAGAATTGTTCATTTTTTACAAATATTATCTTTTAAAGAATATATTATATTTGTTCAAAAACTTTTACTTGACATATAAATATGGTAAATTAATTAGATTTTTTTGAATTATTACTAACATAACAATATTAAAATATTGTAGACCACAATTTATTTCGTTAACATTTTAAAGAGAACTTTAAAAAATATGTATTTATTGAACAACATAAAATAAGAAATGTTACTTTTTTTACAAACAAAATATATCTCTTGCCAAGCTACATGAAAGAGATTTCTGGAAGTCCACAGAAAAATTATTGCTAATTATATTATTAAAAATACTAAATACATTTAGGAGGTGTTTGGGATTGTTTATTTAAAACAACTTATGTTTTTTTTTGTAAAAGTGCTTTATTAACTTATGTAGTATTAAATTGAAGTTTTGTAAAAAGTGTTTGAATTAGCTTATAGCGGTACCAAAAAACAATAAGCTGATAAGTTGTTTTTTAGTGTTTGACAAATTTTGCTTATATATGTAAAATGACCAAAAAGGACAGTCTTCCATATGATAATATTTTTTATTATTAACTTATTTGACTTTTTAACATGTAAAAATTTATTTTTCATCGTTTATAATAATATTTTTGACACATATTTATATCAATAAGATTAATAATTAACAAACATTAATAAAATAAGGTTAAAATGGTAAACTGGTAATAAGTAATTTTTCCATAAGTCAAGAAGAATTAACTTATCAAAAAAACTGCTTATTATCGATATAAACAGTTTTATTTTTCTTCATCCAAACACTAGCATTTAGCTTATTACCGGTGTCAGACTGAAATAAGTAAAAAAAAAAAAACACCTAAAATAAACAATCCCAAACACCTCCTTAATAAAATATTATGTCTCTCATAAACATTCAGTTTTAATGTCCCCTATTAACAAGAAAGAATTTCAATATACACTTTTAGAGATTTCTTCAAGTTTGAAGATTTTTACATTTTTTTCTCTTCTTTTCTCTATTTTAACATAGAAAATAGCATGTAACATAGAAGCTATTAAAGCAAAAAATTGTTAAAATCAAACTTTTTCCTTAACATAGTTGTAAAAAACAAATCAAACCCTTTAAATTGATTCAAGTAAAAAGCAAATTGAACCCAACTGTATGAAAACTTTAGGTCTTCCAATTACAACTCATTAAGATATGCAAATCATTTAATAGCAACATAACTTCCAACTTCCAACCCTTACAAGTTAGGTAAAACCCATTACTTTGAATTTTGTACACAAAAATATTCAACTTCTCAAACTACAACACATTACTTTGAATTTCATGCTAATTGTAACAACTCTTTTAAAAGTTAAAATCCTACAATTGTTAACATATACTAATCGACCGGGTCCTAGCACAGATGGCCTCATACTTGTGTCGGTCTAACCAACGTTGGCCCTAGCACACAATGGCCTAGTACTTGTGTCGGTCTAACCAACGCTGGCCCTAGAACACGTGGCCTAGTCCTTGCAACGGCCTAACCTAACCTATCTTGGTCCTAGCACACATGGCCTAGTCTTTATGTCGATCCTAACCAACTCTGGTCCTAGCACACATGGCTTACTCCTTAGATCCTTCTCCAATTCTCATACACATTGATCGACCATGGTTGTGTCCTTGCGCTTGCCAACCTATTTCTCAAGTTGCAACATTTCATTTCCAACGTCAATTCTTTACTTCAAAAAGACTAGAAAAACCATACATAAAAGGTGAAATCTTTACCAACTTTCCATTTCCACGTCCCTATAAGACCAATCGGTTTCACCCAACTACACAATGCCCATTTCGGATAAAAACCTTTTCTAAAAGTCGATGAGGAGAAGTGAGATCTTTGTTACCATCGACTAATACATCCCTGTATAAAACCGCTTCATAGCGCATAAATTTTGGCACAAAGGTAAGTTCCCAATGATTTGATCAAACCAAACAAACACAATATATCGAATTTGAAAGTATAATATGAGGGAAGATGAAATCTTGAATTTGGCACAGAGGTTAGTTGCCTCAGGCTCCAATGATTGGATCTAAACCAACCATGCCAGATTCACAAGAAAACTGCATATCCCTATTGAAGTACAACTTGTATTGCATAGTGTACAAACCCACATGGGTTCTAGAATCTTGATTTGATGATAGTGGCTCTAAAAAGGGGATGACCAACACCCAAAAGGTACAACTTCTGATGCATAATGAAAAGTCCAGAATGAAAAGCACCCACAAAGAACAACTTATAATGCATGATGTACAAGTCACAATGAAATACAACTTCTAATGCATAATGTGCAGGTCAGTAGAGCATGATCAGGAATTAGGGTTTACCAAATTGGAGTCGGAATTTCAAAACAAGATGCATAAAATTTGAACATTGGTTGTACACACAATTAGTATATATGAGTAAAGCAAATCAAAATTACACCCAAATTTTATTATCATCATCGACCGAATTTCGTATGAATGTAGAGAGAGTATATGATTCCATTCAAACTAATATGAATTAATCAGTTCCACATAAAATCGTATTTAATAAATAAAATAATAGGAACAAACAAACGCCATCGCTCAACGGCGGCAACGAGTGATGGCGCTGCAACCACGGGTGTAAGGGTTAGCCTGACCTCCGGAACGGCAGTTGTAGTACGACGCACCGCGTCTGGAGCACGGGACGTTGTTCCGGCTAAGTGCACCGTAGCTGATGTAACGACGATTGTTTGCTAAAATGCGTCGGTGCGATTCACTATCCATAGCGAACTCCATGTCGTCTATATCCAGATCTCCGCCTTCAGCAAGACATTCCGCCATAGATCCACGGCAGGCGCTGCCGACGGTGGAGGTAGTGGTCGGAATCCATCCCAGATGGTGGTCCCCACCGCTTGAAGCGGCATCAACGGCAGGAAATGAGAGCGCGATCATGTGGGCGACAAGGATTACAGCACAAATCACGAGCAAACCAGCAGATTTCGACATCTTTCCCAGATTTCTCTCTCTAGATTGCTTTCTCTCTCTTCTTTGATGTTTTGAGGCAATGGTGGAGAGATGAAAAGAGTTGACAGATAGAGTGGGAAGGGTCACAAAAAGGAGGCTTTAAAGGAGAACAATAGCCAGCAAGATGATAATATTTACATTTTCACCCTTGAACGTTTAACAAATTTCATTTCGCCCCCTAAAGTTTATTCTATAAATATTCCTTGATTGGTCTTTACAATCTTTTTTTATTAACCTAGATATTCAATCCGCTATGCGAACCGACTAATCCCAGGGCGACCACCTGCTTTGCAGATAGTCCGGAGTCATCGCATTTGAACCTCCGTGGCCATAAGGGGATTTTTATTTTTTCTTGGATTTGAACATGAGACATCCTAGTACTTTTGATTTTTGGAGTCAAACTCAAATCAACCAAGCATCGCCCTTGTGGTTTGGTCTTTACAATCTTTAAGTTTTAAGTCTATCTAAAGATACTGTATAAGATCATTTTTTCGTTCAGAAGGAGCTTAAAATGGTAACGAAGAGAATTTAAACCTTGTATGTACTTTCAGGCAAAATAGACAAGAATGATCTTATACTTTTGTAGTTTTTTTTACAGATAATTGAACAAAAGCAATATCAAACATTTCAACTCAGTTGTTTAAACAATCAAAGTTTACCCATTATAACTTAAATTTCAAGCATTCAAATCTTATATCATATAATGAATTATCATATACGTATCAATAGACAGATGACAAAAGTTTCATAGACTCGAATCTGGTTGACTAAATCCACTATAAAACTGCTTTCAAATGATCATGCCATCAACTAATAAGGCTACAACAGTCAATTCTCAAAAATAACGAGCTTGGACATGACCATCAATGGCTCATGTCAATTGGCTCACATTTCAAAAGGACTAAACGGACATTAAGCAAAGTTAAAGGATGTAAACGTAAATATTCACATAAACGAATATTAGTGTGGGCCTTGTTTTGGAATTGGCATCGAAGTTTGAAAGAATTACGGAAATGCCACCAAAATTAGGTGCCGTTTGCTAATTTGACCTTTGCATACATGGTGATGATGCTTGCCCACTAACTTTGAGCTGGTTTTTCTGTTTTTTGTCTTTTTATTTTTTAATACCAATATTCCCTTTATTCAAAAAATAAAATTTGTGACCAATATAAAATTTAGATTGGATTCCAACCAAAAAAAAAATTAAAATAATAAGCGTAATAAGAAATCTTTATCCTTAAATGCATATTAAGATGAGATGCATCAAGATGAGATGTTCTAAATTAATTCGTGTATCAAGCATGATTCATGGATGAGTTTGAGATTAAAGATGACCAATGAGTTTGAGGAGACCCTGTGATGTGCGGACGACGTGTTCTACGACTTAGGTCGCGCCAAAGAGTTGTCTGCGTCTATGATTTAGCATCGCATGTAATGGTCTTGATGGATTATAATATCATATCAATAACACCATTTATCACATGTGATAATACTTGTGAGAGGGTTTAGTGGTGTAAGGGCGACTTGGCCCGCAACCAAGATCGAAGCTCAAATCGTCTGCGTCTCTAATTTAGCATCACATGTGTATCATATGTGATGGAATAATAGTATCACATGTGATTGTCTATAGTAAAAGAATAGTCTTATGTTCTAGTAAAATGAAAGTGTTGTCATTTAAACGCTTCCCTATGTATGTATATATACTTGGAACAAATTTGCATAATACATATTAGAATAATAAATATTTATATTTATAATTTACATTCTAGAATAACACGGGATATGTATCTTTTATAAGATCCAAGATTAATATGTTATTTTAACAAATTTAAATCTAAACATAATAATATTTTATGAATAAAATATTAATTTTAAAGAATAATAACCAGCTTGTTATAATTTATATTTTAATAATACAAGTCTGAATAATGTAATGAGATCGAGATAGTTATGGTTTTATATCGAAATTTAATATTATAAGTACTAAAAATATCGTAAATAATTACATAATGTTAAAGTTGTGTCGATTTTTCATTGTCGAATTATTTTGGAACGTAAGGAGTAAAATATATATTTATATATATATATATATATATATATATATATATAAAAGTTAATCATTTTAAAACATATTTAAATTTTTTTGTAGAACTTTATACACATTGAACCTCAAACGAATAATCGTGTGAGAAGAAAGGTTAAGATGATAAGTGTAAAAAGGAATTTGGGTCATTGATCACCTTTAATCTCAAACTCACCTATGAATCACGTTTTATACGGGGATTGATTCGATGCATTTTGGTACATCTCATCTTAATGTGCATCCAAGGATAAAGATGATTTTTTACGTTTCTCATTCTCACCGGAACCTACCCTTGAACCTCATAGGTGGCAACAATTAGAATATATATATATATATATATATATATGTGTGTGTGTGTGGGGGGGGGGGGGTTGGATCACGTGAGACCAATCTTTTTTCGTGAGACCCGTAAGACCATTTTTTTTACACTTGAAACTTTACAATAAAACGTTGTGAAAGTAACCTTCACAGTGTTTTTGCTGTGAATGTTCGACTTTTGTTTTACATTTCACATAGCTTTGCTATGAAGTTTCAATTGTAAAAAAGTGGTCTCACGGATTTCACGAAAACAGACTGGTCTCACGTTAACCCAACCCTATAGTTAAGTTCACGTGAGACCAGACTGTTTTTATGTGTGTGATCTGTGAGACCACTTTTTTACACTTGAAACTTTACAACAAAATGTTGTGAATATAAAAAAATCGAACATTCACAGCAAAAATACTGTGAAAGTTATTTTCACGGTGTTTTGCTGCGAAATTTCAAGTGTAAAAGAAAAGTCTCATAAAAATAGACTGATCACATGTGATCCCAAATATGTGTGGGTGTATACATATATATATATATATATATATATATATAATATTAAGTTATAGATATTTCTTCAAATTTATTTATCTTTTCTTGATTTTAGTATATACTTATAATAGTCGTTCGAGCAAAAAAAAATGTTAAATTTCTATAATCCATATTTTAGCGTATCTGTTGAAAATGTTGTAAAACATCTCTATCAAATTTCTATAATCCATATTTTATTCTTTATTTACTTCAGCAGATTTTTTTATATTGTTCATTTAAAATAGATAAAACATGAAAAAACTGTCAAACTTATTATTTTTTAATAAACTTAATTTTTTATTGTTTTATATAATATTTTTTAAATAAAAATTACGTTAACATTTAATTAAAGAAAACTAAAATGGTATTTTTTAATAGGTTTTTCTTTTTTTATTAACCTAGATATCTAACCTGTTATACGAGCCGATTAATCATAGAACGACCATCTGTTTTACAGATAATTCAGAATCACCACATTTGAATCTCCGTACCAAAAGGAATTTAATATGGTTTTTAAATTTCAGTTAGCTGTGTTTTGGTGGGTCCCACAGTTTTTAATTTCAATTACATTTAGTGGAAAAGAGGTACACGTATTTCTCTCAATCATTCCCAGGCGCTTTTGGATCGAAACGCGCAAACAGTTATCGACATTTGCATCATTAAAAAAACAATTGCTTAAAATAATGTATTTTTTTATATTTTATAAAATTATGATAAAATATAGTCTATACTGTATTATAAATTATTTGATAAAAATTATTTTTTATGTATAAAGTACTGTTTATTAATGCAAATTACTTAAATTTAAGATTACAAGTAAACTGTGCGTAAGTACAACTTATTAAAGTTCCATTTTTAAATGCGTGTAACTAACTGCAGATAAATATAACCAAATAGAAGATAAACATCTTATTTTAAATATAAAAAAAATCTAAAATATGATTAGGATAATCATTAAGTTTTAATAAAATCATTATCTTCATAAAGATTATATTGTTAAGCGAAAAATAAATTATTTTGTTATTAGACATAAATTAAATTATAATAAAAAATTAAATTAAAGAAATTGTACAAAAAAAGGAGAACCTTTAAATAGTTAATGTGGTATTAAGATCAATATATTTTTCCAAACTTTTATGATATCTTCAAATTTATTTTTATTCAAAAGTAAAAACATTATCTTTCTCAAAACCACATAAACCATATTTATATTAACAGAGACAAAAAATAAAATAAAACGAAACATTAAAATGAAGATGTATCTCGCTGCATTGTGTGAGTACCTTTCTGGTTAATTATAAGGAGTTTCAAATAAGAATAGTAATCAAATAATAAAATACGGAAACAGTAAAATCACGTGTAAAATCACATGTTATTCTACATAACAATCAATACAATAGTGTGTAGGCGACGTGGCTGTAGCCTTGAATCACAATGATTTTACACATAATTCGACTATTTTCTTATATTATTTAGTTATTGTTTTTGTATGAACCTGACTATATATATATATATATATATATATATATATATATATATGAAACACAATCAGTTGCAAACCTTTCAAAGGTTGCAACCAATGCAAACCAATTAATTTTTGTTGGAACTTAGTTTAGATGTGAGAAACTTGTTCCACATAGGAGACCCGTGGAAACTAAAACTCAATTAATAAACATCAACCCTTAAGTATTAGATGAATCATTTTAATAATTTGGACATTGGTGTGTGGTTGTTTCATGATGGGCTTTCCTTGATACACAAATACATATTAAAGGTCAAAAGATGGGCCTTGTGCCTTGGGGTCTCTTGATTTGACATGAAATTACGTTACCTTCACAGGAGCATACACATGTATTCACGTGGCTTGACGTGCACAATAAGCCACATAACTCTCTAGAGTTTTGATCGAAACAGTAGCTTAAGCGGGTTCTCTCACGACTTAACCCGTGCACAATAAGGTCAAGCAACTCACTTGATAAATTGATAAGTCGGGCATTGGCGGCCCACCAAGCGAAACCAGTGGCAGGGTAATATTTTGTAGCTTAATGAATCTTTCAGTTAAAACTGTAACGTTCCCATGGAGGTTTGGGAACCCACGTTCTACCAAACTGAACTAAGAGCGCTTTCTTATCATTAAAGATAAGATTGTAAAGAAGAGGATTGGCCCCAATACATCAAAATTTGCTTTTGACAGTGATATGTGTTTTTTTATAGTCAAACAAAAATTTCAGCCCCCTTTCTCCTTGCACGCACACCATTTTTTTACTCCCCCTTCCCTTCGCACGCACACCATTTTCAGCACCCCCTTCCCCTTCCCTTTCACACACACACACACATGCATAAACACACCAAATCTATGTGTTTTTAAATTTGCAACAAATTAGAGCACACACGTATCAGTGGCTTTCCTTTCATGTTTTTCGAAGAACTTCAGAAATACAAAAATCAACGAGAAGAAGTACAAACCCAAGTTCTTTGTGTTCTATACTATGAGATGGTTCTACACTCAATCTTGTATATACGGATACACACGACCACGATATTTCTGACACATACATACATAGATAGAAATGATCGATGAGGAGGCGTGTTGCAAATGTTTACACACACATACATAGAAGCAAAAGAATGTAGTTTCATCGCTGGAGGGTCAACACAGGGGTTGGAGATGGAGTTCTCACAAAGTTGGGTTAATGAGGGTCATAGTAGTTATGGGTGTTGCTATTGGGCGTAGTTGGTCGGATTTAAGATAGAGGTAGCTGGAGGATTTGTCAAGAAGAGGGAGGGGGCGAGTCACGGGGAAAGGGGACTTCTCTCCTTTTTGGTATTCATAATATTTTAAATATAATAATAATATTTTTGTTTAGTTTTTTAAAAGAAAAGTAAACAAATGAGAAAAATAGAAAAATGCCCTTGAGTTAACGGAACTTTAGCCACAAGAACCAAAATTAAAACAAAGTGTCGACCACAATGATTATAAGTGTAATTAGTTGGAATGTACTTAATAGTGAGTGGCGACTACATGGACCAAAAGTGTAATTTACTCTTTTCATTTAATAGAGTTGGGTTATTGTGAGAAGGGTAAAAAAAGATTTCCCACTTGGATCAATTGTAATTAAAGATCAACACTAATGAGATGTACCAGATCAATTTTCATGAGAAACACAATTCATGGGATGAGGGTGAGATTAAAAATGATCAAGAGTCCAGATCCCTTCTTACATTTCTCAGCTTAACTCCTATTTTCACACGATCTTTCATCTTATTTAACAAAAACTATTATGTATATACATTTAGTGAATTACATTGTTGGTTCCTTTTAGGTTTTACTGGTTTTGGTCCCTAAAATCCATAAAATATACTAGTGGTCCATTTTCATGTTTCAAAGTCCAAAATGGTCCCTTCCCTCCATTTAACAATGTTAGTTTGGGTTCGTGAAGTCCATCATGTGCCCTTCATATGAGGGCAATTTGGTCTTTTCATCTATCTTCTTTCTCCCCATCTATTTCTTCCATAAATCAAGAACCCTAATTTCATTCATTGAATTTAAAATATAAATTCAAACCCGATTTAACATACTAGATAAACAAAAAGGAATTCACAAGAACTGAAGTCTAAATCGATAGAGACACATAAAAATTAATGAATAACCTACATCTAAATATAAATATAAATCCCTAAATCAATATATCAAAAAATTATAAATCAAAACCCTAAAAAGCTGTAAATCAATAATGCATCCATCTCTTCTCATCATACTTAAGGATCCAGATGCTTCAAAGAAGAAGAAGTGGGGGTTGTTGATGTTCATCATTCTCGAGCTGGAAACCTTTTAATTCGTTGAAGGGTAAGAATAATATTCTCCGTATGGGTTTAAATTTAATCAACTGGGAAAGGGGAGATGAGACACCACCATCCACCAAACCATTTGTTGACAAAAACAAGAAGAAAATCGTCAAATCTGACATTAATAACCCACAAAGAACAATCGTTAGAATCATTTAGGTTTCATAATTTTGTGGAGAGGGTTTCAGCTATGATCATCCTATCAAAGAGAAAATGGTTGGTGGTGTAACTGTACTATGAGGCATATCATGTATTCATCAAGGACTAGCACTTCAAATATCAAAAAGCTTATAAAAATGGATGAAATTATGAAATTGCCCCTCATAGTCTCTACTTAACGACATTTCACTAACAGTGTTAATTCGAAGGACTAGTTTTGGCTTTGAAATAGGAAAAAGGACCATTGATGTACTTGATGAATATTAGGAACCAATAAGGAACCAAGAATGTAGTTCACTCTACATTTAGTTAGATTTTTATTTATATTACACGAAATCCATCCCTTTTCCCCTTTAATCATCGACCCAAACTTCCAGCCCATGTCGTTCATTTCTCGACCATTTACGCACACTTCTTCCTCATCAAGACCCGCCCTATCTCGTTCCCCCTCTGGTGACAGTCCCCCCTCCCCTACTACCAACAAAAACTACGTCGTCGATCCAAGTCCTGTTTCAATTTCCTTTTAGCCTGGATAAGTAGTAATATCAATTGATCTTCCTACTGCTCCACGTTTGTATACCTACATGTTTTTACAACCAAAATTAAACTCAAGTGAACCGCCAAGATGAATAAAAACACTCAAAATTCACAAATCGATCTTGGCATTTTATAAGAAAAATCCCAACTCTAGTGTGGGAGTAATGTTCAACTTGCATTCAAGCAACTCCAACCCTAACACCAAAAAGATATGATATTTGTGGGACCATGGACACCAAAAATCGTTTGAAATCCAAGCATACGACATTTATGCCATTTGAATAGGAGGCCAACATATTTTCCGTTTCTTTCCCATCTTCGGCAAAAATAATTCTATTTCCAGGCCCATTGGAGTTTAGAGAATAGTAAAAACACTACTTTAGCGTACGTGCTAAAAATCAAATTTGCCAAATATTTTATGATTGAATCCCTACATAATACCTATTTTGGTGGCTAAAAGAACCAACTAAACATGCTTTTCTCATTCCATTACGGGTTAGTATAATAAAAAAAAAACACTAGGAATAATGGTTAACATGTTAGGGTTGTATGGAACAAGTGGTCGAAGAAAAGCACAACAGAGAAAAATGTTACCATGAGCTACCCCCTGCCATGCCAAGGTTACAGGTGAGGGTTGCACCAGGGTCGCATATAGGGTCTATACTTATAGTACACACAATACTACTCTGACATGTCAAGGTCGCATAATGCACAACAGAGACCATTTTTGCCAATTTTTGAATCTTGAGCGGGTTTTCCATTTTCTTGGTATAAAGTGGGTTTGAAGTCGCCATTTGCGAGGGGAGCGAACTTGGGGACAATTTCTAGAGCAAAGGAGAGGATTTTGAAACTTTTCCACCATTTTCTTCTTGTTTAGTTCTATAGGTAACTAGTTTCTTCATTCCATAACCGTGTAGCCTTTAGTTTAAATGCATCTGGTTTTGAGATTCCTATGTAAAGATGTTTGAACAAGTGTATTTGCTTGAATTCCGAATGAATGTTAGTATCTTTTGGTTTATTAATTAATCTGATCAACAGATTGGTACTCATTTGATGAAAAATCACGTAAAACCCTAACTCCGTAATTGTTTGCGGATTTTGATAAAGTGACAAATCGTATGTTTGATTTCAAAATGGTTTTCGAACCTATGCCATGAATTCTTGCAATCAAAGCTCTAGTAAGCCGAGCTTGTGAGCTTATTGCTTTGAACCAGTGAACCTCCTAATTCATTAATGCTAATCACACTCGGGGATTTAAGAACTTGTTTAAAACCTCATTTGCTGTTAAGATTTAACCAAAGAGCTTATTTTGGTTAATGTATATCTAAGGAAAAAAAAATCAAGATTGCCATAGCTTGTCATGTCTTCTTTTGAACCATAGGAATCAACTGTAAACATTTGCACTAAACATATCGATTATCAAGGGTGAAGCTGTTGTTGGATTTTTTTTATTAACCTGGATATCCAACCCGCTATGCGAGCCAACTAATCCTAGGATGACCACCTGCTTTGCAGATAGCCTGGAGTCACCGTATTTGAACCTCCGTGGCCACAAAGGGGATTTTTATTCCTTATTAGATTTGAACTTGAGACCTCCTGGTACTTTTGACCTTTGGAGCCAAACTCAAACCAATCAGGCACCACCCTTATGGTTTATTGTTGGGTTTTTAATAATATTGCTTCTAATCGTATGTTTAGTTTAGTTAATCAAATCCAACCCCTGTTTTACTTAGTGTAGAAGTTAAATAATTGTCATTACCAAACCCTGTAGTTTCAATTTAACTTATCACTATTACAATTAATATCATAATTTGAAACATTTAGAATTTATGAATCATTCGAATTTTGTTATTTGATTCAAACAAAAATGGTAAACAAGTAACCGAAATTCGAACCAAGTTAAATATTATTCCGTTAACTGAACCGTTTTGGTTCGTTTGAGTTAATCAGTCACCTAAATTTCTGGATCCGCAGCTGATGAATACGTACAAAAATTGTAATTCGTAATAAACCATAGGACCCAAAAGATCGTAGTTTTTAATTAATTTTACAACTAAATTACGTTTTTAGTCTTTATTTTAGTCTTTCGCACTTAAAAGTAGTACTTTGGCCTTAAGAACTAAAATAGAAAAGAATTGCAAACTATAGAATGGAAATTGATGAAATATGTAATTTTTAAAAAAATACAGGGACTAAAAACGTAATTTACTCTAATTTTACTTTTCCTTTCTTCTTTGGTCCAACGGAGACCCAAATCGTATGGGGTTGAAAAACCGGTGACTCCGACCACCACCATTGCAAACCCCATCATCAATCTCCATATCTCGGTTCTTTTACGGCAATTTCCGGTTGCCATGGATGATCATCGAACTCCTGCAACTCCGACCATCCTGGAATATTATCATGATACGGTCAATGTTCAATCCAAGGCTACTATGCTGTCTTCCTTTCTGGTTACTTCTTTTATCTCACTTCCATATTTTCCAATTTACACCCGAAACCGTTATTTTCTGATACGCTCTGTTTCTCTATTTCTCACTGAAATTCTGAATAATACTTTTGAACTTATTGGGTGCAAGAAAGGGTGACGATGGCAGACATGTATTGATATTGGATTGCACCATTTTTCACCCACAAGGTGGTGGCCAGCCATCCGACACCGGTTTCATAACCGATGTCTCTTCTTCTCGATTCAAATTCTTCGTCCAAGATGTTCGAATCAAGAATGGTATTGTATGTATTATGTACATGTTTTAAAAATTATCACCGTTTCAGCCACTTCAACTTTGGGCTTTTCCCCTTTTCTTTATCTGATTTGTGTTTTTGGGTGAATGCATAAACTTAGGTTTATCATTATGGGGTTTTTGAGAAGATTGATGAGGATCTCGAGGGGGGTGTTCAGGTCGTGCTATCAGTTGATGAGTCCAGACGAAAGCTTAACTCTAGGTAAGATGGGTTTGTATATTCGTGGGTTAATTTGTCATTACTTTAACATTAATCCTAGGATGCTCGCATGAATCGTGGAATCACAACAAAATATCAACCAAGAAAACACAACATTTTTGCAAATGTCTACATAAATTCAATACTAGAATACAAATGTAGAAAGGAAGAATACATTAAACCTTGGGCTTTGTCAAAATATTTTTATTTCTCGGTCGAGCTCAATGAATGAACCGAAGGACAATTGTTGTTAAAAACCAAGAATCCTATTGAGAGATGAGATATAATTGATGGCATCCATTTATACATTGGAGGAGAGCCATTAAGTGGCCTCACTTGAAACAGCAAATGCACACATGATATGTCGGTGAGAAGGTTTTAGTTTTTTTGGAAAAAGATATTTTTCAAACGAAATGGGTTAAAAGGTTTTAGTGTATGCCCACTTCGGCCATAAGACTAAGTTTCTTGTTCCAATTCATTTTTGGCCATATGGTTGCACTTTTAATTTGGGCAGGGGTTGTGCCCTGTCTAAAAATGATTACATCTTCATGTATTGAAATGAATTGCTCCACTTACTTTCTGAATCTTTTTTGCAAGCTGGGATCTTTTTGGAGACAGTCTCTTAGAGACCCAACTTTCGGGTGGGTTTTTGTGGTTGGATTTGAAAAAAGAACTCTTTTTTTACAGGTTACACTCAGCTGGACACTTATTGGATGTTTGTATGCAAAAGGTGGGATTAAGCCATTTGGAGCCAAGCAAAGGCTACCATTTCCCTGATGGGTATGAATATGAATAAAACATACTACATGGTTATTTAAGTCTTTTTATCTCAGGTGCTTTTGTTAGAACTCTTATCTAAAAGTGGTTGAGCAATGCCTTATTATAAACATTTTTCTTCAATGATTGTCCATGGTCTGTACTAGATTATGCCATCTGCAACCAACTTTTTCGATCTTTGATGTCAGCAACTGAATTCATTGCAAATACTGATCATGGTTTCTTGTTGGTTGCTGATGGTGGTGTTTTCTGTAGCTAATGCTCATACTTGTGAAGCTCTTGCTTATCAATGTTCAACCCTGTGATCTAAATGGTTAGCTATATGTGATTGGATTAGAAACATTCTCATCAATTTAGAATTGCTATATTTTTAATAATATTGTTTCAAAATGGAGGATCTGTGTGCCTGTCAAGTGTTTTCGCTTTATTTTCATTTATTCTGGGCTGCTCGTACTTGTATTGTACATCTAGTAATATTTTTCTTAAGGAGGACTTTGAAGTTGATTCTGATCAAGTTTTACCTTTTTAGGCCATATGTTGAATACAAGGGAACAGTTCCACAGACTGAATTGCAGAGTAAGCAGAAGGAACTAGAGCTGGAGGCAAACAATTTGATATCCAAGGGAGGGAAGGTAAGTTTATGCTTTTAAAACTATGATATCTCTGACAAACCATTTATTTGTGCACATATATATATATATATATATATAGAGAGAGAGAGAGAGAGAGAGAGAGAGAGAGGCAGGATCAAACGAGGATGGTACCTATTTAAAAGAACATGAAAACAGGCAAATCACGTGCAAAATCACATGTGATTTTTTACATTAATGGTCAAAAAAAGTGTCCGGGCCACTTGTGGCTGCTTCTTCAGGTCGCCGGGCAAGGTCGCCTAAAACACATGTGATTTTGTATGTGATGTTAATGTAAAATCACATGTGATTCGCACGTTTTCGTGTTCTTTTGAATAGTTCTCGTTTGATCCTCCCTATATATATATATCATAGTTCTAAATAACTTGTTATGGCGTCAAGGCTTGGGTTTGCTGCCACGTTAACCCCTACGACTCCACTCTAAGGCTTGGCTTCCATTGTGATGTGTTATGGCATGTTACAACCCCTTATTTTGTAAGGTTTGACTTTTTTTGTTATATAACTTGAGCAATAAATGATAAGTATGTACGAGACTCAAGACTTAAATAAACATAAAAAGGAAACTTGACAACTAAAATTCTAAATAGGTAAATACTTAGAGTTCAGACTCCAGAGTTCGGGTGAGCTAAGTCTGAAAAGGCAGACTTCAGAGTTTGGGTGAGCTAACTCTTTAGAATGACTCTTCAGACTTGTACTCTTGAAATAACTCTGAAGATTGACTTCAGACTTGGTACTTTTGAAATAACTCTGAAGCAAAACTTTGAAGAATGACTTCAGACTTGTACTATTGAAATAACTCTGGAGTATAACTCTGAAGAATGACTCTTCATACTTGAATTTAGAAACTGTATCAATAATTAGTTAAAATGAAGTTAACCCTAGAATAAAATTGAATTTAGAAATGAAACTATATCAGTAAATTGAATTTAAACTTAGAAGAACACCTGCGTCAAATATGAAGACGAAGTCTGAAGACCTTGAGTTCAGAGTATTTACTTCGTCTTCATATTCAAATACCTAATATCTTTGAAAAAGACCCCATGGTAAAGTTTGCATCATACAGAGCAAGACCAACTAGAGCTCCTCAAGGACCAGAGCCCCTGTGGACTCACCAACCAAAAGCAAGGCCAACCAAACGCCCTCTGGTTCGTCCATCCAGAGCCTCTAGGTCAAAAAAAATATTAAATACTTAAAGAATTTGAGTTCCAATTACAACCAGAGGGTCTCTGGTTAAATATGAAGATCAACCAGAGCCCCTCTGGTTTCTTTATGATGGATTGGAATATTTTTCCAAGGTTCAAATAAACAACTAGAAGCAAAATCCAGAAGCCAGACCAACCAGAGGGGCTCTGGCTTACAAGACTAAGTCTAAGCCTTAAAGACTTATCTTCAAAGTCTAGATAAGTTTATTACAAAAATTGTACTCTTGAAATTACTCTGAAGTAGAACTCTTTAGACTTCAGAGCTCTGTATAGGCAAGCCAGAAGCTCTGCATGCACTATGCAGAGGCTTTGCATGGTGCTACGTTTGGAAAAGAAGACTACATAGTTCGGGTGAGCTAACTCTTAAGAATGACTCTTCAGACTTGTACTCTAGAAATAACTCTGAAATAAAACTCAGAAGAGTGCCTCTTTAGACTCGTACTCTTGAAATAACTCTGAAATATAAAATCAATCCCATTAAATCAGAGGTCAGACTTCCAAGTCTGAAAAAAAAAGACTTTAGAGTTCAGACTTCTAAGTCTGAAAAAAAGACTTCAGAGTTCAGGTGAGCTAAGTCTTAAAAAGAAGACTTCAGAATTCGGGTGAGCTAACTCTGAAGAATGACTCTTAAGACTTGTACTCTTCAGAATTGTAGTAGACTTTAGAGTTCAGATTTCTAAGTTTGAAAAAGTAGACTTCAGACTTCTTTTTCTAAGTCTAAAAAAGAGACTTCAGAGATCAGACTCCAAAGTTCGGGTGTGCTATGTCTGAAAAAGCAAACTTCAGAGTTCGGGTGAGCTAACTCTAAAGAATGACTTCAGACTTGTTCTCGTGAAATAACTCTAAAGTAAAAAAATTCAGTAAATTGAATTTAGAATAAAATGAAGTTAACCCTAGAATAAAATTGAATTTAGAAATGAAAGTATATCAGTAAATTGAATTTTAACTTAGAAGTAAACACTATTTTTTTTGGAATCAGTTACCACACGAATTATTTAACCCAAGAATAAAATTAATTGCATCCAAAATTAGTGTGATTGATTGAAAAGAGGACACATGTCAATCAAATGAGTATAATTGAACTGTTAATGTAAATTGTGTCTAGATCCGTTCAAATGAGTCTAATTGAAACACTAATGTAAATTGTGTCTAGGTACGTGTTTAGGCGGGAAAACAAAAAAACCGACTCACTAGAAGATGACACGTGTCACCCAAGTTATTTATTATAAGTATAGATATATATTGCTTCCCTAGGACACGCCTTGAAAAATGTCGTGGCCTTGCCGTAATTTGTAAGGCTTGAGGCATGACCTCGCTGCCACACCACGCTTCACGTCATTTAGAACCAAGGGCTGGCTTTCGGTGATAAAGGAAGTTATGGTTAGAAGCGTAAGAAGAGATCACCCTCGGATCAATCCTAATTGAATGTCAACACTAATGAGGTGCACCAAGATGCACCGGATCAATTCCCTTCTAAAGCGTAATTCATGGGTGGTCATGGGATTAATAAAAGTGATCAAGGGTTCAAAATGATCAAGGGTTCGGATCTCTTTTTACGCTTCTCACCATAACTTCCCTTCGCACACAATCCTTCGCCTTAGAACCAATGTGTGTGTGTATATACATATATCTTTGTATGTATGCATGTAGAATTGTAAATGGATTAGGAACTTTATTTTAATTATTATTGTTGTTTATCTTCTTCTTTTAGTTTTCCAGTTTTGGTGTGATCATTATAGGATTAGGAAACGTGCTAGGATAAGGATTGTTTTGTGTACATATTGTAAGGTTTTAATCTCTTTCTTTGGGGATGACAAAAAGAAGAAAATTCCGTCAATTATTGCTTTATGGTATCAGAGCAATCGTTCTACCTCTGATTTGTTATCTCGACAAACAATTGCCCCGGTAGCGGTGTCCTTGCTGCCCCCACCCTCTCTCTACGTCGTACCTGTACGTAATCTTATCAATCAACAAAGTCTCTCAGTCTCAGTCAAGAGTTCCTCTCTCTGTTGAGTGTTGACGTTCATCAATCGATTTTGGTTTCTTCAATTGAGTTCCAGAACCGTCGTTCACTCTTGCTGTCGTCACAAGCTTGACGAACTTTCATCACCATCATTGATGCTATTGCGAATAGTTGTCTCTGCTGCTTCTATATATTGTTTCCAAAGTGGGTTAATGCTGCTTCTTATAAGCATGTCCAAATCAAATTCTTTTACACGATCATGTGAACTTTTCTCTGCATATTGGTGCGACCGTGACCATGTTTCCTGTCCAAAATCCCTCCTAGGTACTCTAAACCCACATCCTGTCGTCTTGTGCTAATCATATCATGACAAAATACGTCATCATCAAATTTCACAATTTCCTAGTTGTTCGATCAATGATCTCCTCTAGCTGGCTATTCGACATAGGTCAACTTCTCACGCATTTTGATTTCTTCTAACTGAATCTTCATTTCTTCATCGATTGGGCATTTTCCTTGCTACTGGTACATCCTTGTCTTCATTTTTTTTGCTTACCATTACCAATAATGCATTATGCTAAATATCCCTTCCTAACTCATGGTCTTGCCTTGATGGCGTTGACTAACATCATTGCCTTTCTTCTTTAATCATCCTTTACATAATCAACTTGCCTTATGTGGTTTTTAGCTTTTCAAGTAGTTTCCCATTGCATATTATTTTGGCTTGATGTTTTCCTAACCTATCCATACCCATTATTACATCAAATTCTTCTAACTTCATGGGTATCACAGATCGATGAACTAATCATTTCCATTGATCTGTATCTTACACCATTTATGTAACGTGTTGATCTTATTCTGACTACCATCAACAAGTTCAACCGCAACATGTATTGTTATTTCTTAGGATCTATTTTCAGTTTTTTAACAAAGTATAATGACACTCGTCAAATAAATAAAAGACAACAGGAAGGCACAAGCGGAAAGGTGGGAGATAACAAAGGAAAGGCTAAAGCACAAGCCTTTCAAATGATAGAAAATGAAGCATAGGAAACACGAGATATTGTGAAGGTACACATCACCTTAATGGCATAAGTGCACATGTATTATTTGAGTGTGGTGCAAGTCGAACGCAACCATAACAGACTTCTGTGCCATTCAAACAAGTTCCTAGTCGTGACTCTCCACACTTGCTACTACAAGACGTAATGGTATCTGATTTCTTTAACTTTGATTATTCAACCTTGGCTTTCTTGTCCCAATTCTCTTTGAACTGCTCTCTTTCCGCATCGAGTTTGGTAATCCTTGATCCTTAGGTATAAGATCTCGCTTTATAACCTTAGCTATGCTCACTGCTCTTTGAAAATTTCTGGCAAATTTGCTAATACATACCTTTGGATATCATCATTAAGATTGCAACAAAACAATTGTTGTTTTCCTGGTCTTTGTTGCGACTTGATTTTCAACAAATCAGAATAATTCTTTTGAAATGATGCCATGACATTATGTTGCTTCTGCCACACCTTTTATAGCTCTAACTGAATTCCATTTGTTGTAGTAGGGTGGTAGCGTATCTAACTTTTTGAGTCACAATATAGTGACATGTTTTAAAGTGGTTTTTCATGCTCGTAACCTAGTCCGTTGCTTTAACTGCATCCGTTTCAACGTTAAAGGCCATTGTGCAAGTACTAATAATCAGTTTCTTTTGATCATTAATGTCTAATGATTTCTTCGTGCTTTTGTTTCAACACATTTTCTTAATAACATCTCCATATCTTGATTCTTATTCGTTTCAATTTCATTATTACTATTCTCGT